GGGGGGAAAAAGAGGGGGGGGGCACCGTGGGTTGCCCACATACATAGGTTTGTTTGGGCAAATTGTCCTCCTTTCAGGCGGCTTTCATACCGCGCCTGCTCTCAACACACGCGGGGTACAAGGAACAAGTAGTGCAGGGGCACCAGCTGCCTAGGGTGAGGTACCTGGCTGTACCCTGTACCTGACCGCCCACATGGAGCCCGTGTCGGGTTACCCGCAGGTGGCACCCCGGTAAGACGTTTGCCGACGTCGGCCCACGCCACCGCGCGCCGAAAAAAAAAAAACGGTTAAAGTGGACCCTGTGTTTGGTCCGCCTTGGCACTGCGGATGTTGTCGGGGAGGCCCGGCCGGTCTCTCCGCTTCCTCTTTGAGGGGCCGTCCGCACCCTGACAATATTCCCTGTTGATATTGGCGGCTTGGCGAGTCGTAAAGAAGGCAGACGGGGCAGACGTGCGGCGTGGCGGGGCGTGGCGGGGCGTGGCGGGGCGTGGCGGGGCAGGATGAGCCGCACTTGCTGCTCCGTAAGCACCGGCAGCTATGCGGCAGATGGTTTGCATCTCCAGACCGTTTTGACCGATACGACTAAGCGGGGGAGGAGGCCTTTCGCAAGGCCACGATGCTGGTGGTTGCTGGGGTGCCTCAACGGCCAGCCTGTTGGGCTGGGGAAGGCCCCGCGCCATCGTCCCACCTGCCCCTCGGTGTGTGTGTGTGTGTGTGTGTGTGTGTGTGTGTGTGAGGGCCTGCACCACGCTACGCCACGCCGCGCCCTTGCACGTTGCGCTGCAGTTGCTGCGATCTCGAATTAGTTCTGGCGCAGGGAGCTCTCCACGTTGGCGCCTTTGCGTCGCCCTCCCCTGCCCCGCCGCGTTGCATTGCGAGCGCGTCGCAGGAATTAGCCCGCTCGCTAACGAGGGTCACGCGCCGAGTCACCCGCTGCTGCGGCCATCGAGTCCACCCTGAGGGACCCTGCTCCCGCCCGCCTTGACGAGGGTAGCGCGCGCCGAGTCACCTGCTGCCGCGGCCTGTGAGTCCACCTTGAGGGACCCTGCTCCAGCCGGCCGGGGCGGCTCCTGGAGGCGGGGCAGGGGCGAGGACACCGGCCCGTGGCGCAGCGGCGCGTGGCGGGCGGGCCTACCCGGCAGGCGCTCCGCGGAGCTGAGTTGGACACGCCCGCCTCGGCCAACGCCCGCTCCGCTATCGAAAGACAATGAAGCTCGTGGGATTAAATGCGCGTATTTATGGCCGAGTCAGGAGTCTTCTCTAAGCTGGCGGGCGTCGCGGGCAAGTAAAAGTTCGGCGGAAAGTAGCGTCAAACAGCATAGCGCGGGTGCGGACCTCCGCGCGGCCCCGCCCGTCCCCGTCTCGGCCCGAATGCCGCTCCGCCGCGCCGAGGAGAGCCGGGAGGACATTGCTAGGGTTTCCCTTGGACAGAGAGACATCGCTTGTAAACCCGCCTATGTGATGCACTCAATCCACTTTGAAGAAACGCCTGGGCGATCGGGTGGGGGTGCGGCCGTGCCAGACGAGAGGATCAGACCCCCCCCCCCCCTTTCCGCGAGGACGACCCTGATGTAATTATCAGGCCCAGCCAAGCACATATACTGTTTCCGGTCTCTAAAATCGTACCCCCCTACCCCCGCTTCCCCTCGCTGCAATGTATTGCCATAATTACAAAGATGTAAACACAAACCTTTGTGACAGGACATTTTCCTCGTACAGGCGACACCCTTTACATAAAAACGCACAAAATTCACACAGTGATAATGTGGCTTTCTTGCGACTGCTCTGCACCACGAATAAATGCGATTCAGATATTCAAAACTTCCGCAATATTTTACGTCCCACATGCATACAGACGGGGTAACACTGATGACAACAAACGCAGACGACGACGACACGCGCCGTGCCGGCTATAAGACCGCATCGGAAGATCCACCAAGTTCGTTTTCAATTTTCCTTTCAAAATTGAAAAATTAACCCTTAATATCACTGCATTCAAAACCTGACGCTGTGCTTTGACCCACTCTCA